TTGCCCTAACACCTCAGTTATAAATTGAAGTCCAATTCAACAATTTCAATCGAAGCTCCTCTGATGCATGTCAATATTTATTTTGATTGTCAGGAACATTAGTCATTTATTACTTTTACTAATGAAACAAACATGAATAAATTTAACTATTACAATACTTGCAGTACATAATACAGAAAATGAATTTCACACAAGCCTGCCTTAATTACAATCATCTGAGCTTTCCATTTTTGAATACCACAATCATCGATCAAAACTTCTTTACGTAAAGAAAATTGTGTGTTCTAAATTAATTTCCTTTGATAAGAATGTTATCTATATGGTTCAATCACGACCGACAACAATGGAATGAAGAGAGTTAGCCAAATTATTGAATGCAGGGCCGTGCGGTGATTACTTTGTGTGCCCCAACTGCTGGCGGCCGACCAGAATACCTTCCCACCCCATTTTTTGGGATCTTGTGTAATTATTGCGAGGCCTACCGTATACAATTACCTGCTTCTTTTCGAGTAACTATCTTGTTGAAAATGATATCCTCAAAATATCGTCAGTGATACTTACTGCAAGACATGCTACACATAATTATTCCTGAATACCCGTTAGATTAGAAAAAGTACTTATTACTATACTGAAAAGATACTACAAATCCCAACGATCGAAGCTAGGCCTAGCCTTGAGGCAGTGGGAGGGGGAAAGCGTCATCCATCTCCAGCTTGCTACATTGCTGCGACTTCTCCGCCATCGTTGCTTGCCGCTGGCCCATTAAATTTGATGCGCCCGCGCCTCTCGTCTCCCGCGAAGATTTCAGCGCTGGGGTTGGAGCACAGTAGGCAGTCGCAAAGATCACAGTAGAGTGCACAGTGGGTGGATTATTTTTGACCATGTGACATTTTAATTTTCAACATTCTTTAAATTATCGTTCTTGTTTACCCCAGCGGTGCGGGGTTGCTGGGGTTATATGCACGCCACTGATTAATGTATATTACACTACCAAACTTAAAAAAACCATGGTATCAGTGACAATTGATTTAAATGAAATCGTTCATATTATGACTCTATTGTATTTTAACGCGCACGGGAAGTTCGTGAAACTTAACTCGACACCGATTCATTTTATATCCATAAACTTAATGGAAGACAGACTTTTATCCATACATGATTATCTTTTCATGCTACTCTAGCATGTGCTAGAAAAAGACCATCCGATATCAACTTTAATGTTTTTGCGGCAGTATTTTCTCCAATGTAATAACTTTTGTAATATTTGTGTTAGCTTGAAATTATTAAATGAACAAATTACTGTACTAGTCTTCAATCGCACGTCATCAATTGCGATAGACTTAAAAGGTTTATCCACTTTTCGTTACCATTTTTCTCGCAGCATTACAATACTTTCTCTCCGTAACCAGTAGCGAGAAAGTAAAAATACCTTGAAGAATGTGAGACAGACTTATTTAATAAATGTGTCCAATTATGAAGATTACCTGTTATCTGGAGGCGCACTACAATGTTAGTCATGCATAAAGGAGAAGGGAACATAGATGCGCTAGACTTATATGGAAGCATTGGTCTCCAAAACAGATTGTTCAAGATGTTCACAAATATAATAAGCAACAACTATCGTCCGTCGACAATGTTCGGAACGGACAAATTTGAAGTTTCTTCGAGATGAGGTGAATGTATGCATAGCGTGGACTACCACTCCACGTTGTTCCTTGTTCTTCCAGGGGGAATGCTCCCGGGGTGTGCACCTAAGCGTTAGCCTTTATCCCCCCCGCCGGCGCACAACCTTCCCATTCAATGCCTGAGTCGGGCTGCTGTGCCAGCTTAGAGCTATGGTCGGTGTCAGAATCGGAACAATGCGCCAGGAACCAGTCCCTACTCTATGCCCAGAGAACCGAAGCCAAGCACGAAGCCACGAGCCCGACAGGGGGCCACGTGAACTAACGTCCGGACGGCTCGGACCCCCTCACTTTATGCTGCCGACGTGAGTACAGCCGGAATCTAGGCAACCCGTCTGGGCGTCTAGATGTAAGATCCTGAACATTCCGAAGAACGTCCTTCGCCCAATCCCACCTAGAGGTAGACGCACCAGAAGCCCAACCGGTGGGTTACCCGGCGAACTCGGGATTACGGAGCTTAGCTTACATCTTCAATTCATTGCCTCCTCCTTGATACTACGACGTGAGTGCCGCCGTGAAAGTCAGGGACCTGGTGGTCGTCTACAATTCTCCACCAGAAACTATGCCCGCCTACGCGGCCGTGATTCCCCCCTGCGGGGTCGAGACGAGGTCAACCTGAAGAAACAGCGTTTTCTCCGTACGGCATACGCCAAGGAAGGAAAACATTCAAAAGTGTGAGTGCGGTCCGTTTGACGCGGGCCACAGTGTGTGTTTGGGAAGCACAAATCGGCCTTGCAATGAATAAATGGCACTGTTCTCTTTGAAGCGCGCACCTACGAGCAAATCCAAAAACCTCTAAAACCCAAGTAGAATGCCGGCCTCCAGATGGAAGGACTCCTTCCCCTCAGTCTTTGTAAGGTTGCATTGAGGATTTTTGATTACAAACTGAGAAAGAACTTCTCTCCTTACTTAACAGTCAGGTCGCCACTGAACTGTTCATGATCAAGGAGGAGTATGGAAAAGAGTTCCTCACCTTTACACCTCGATTCTAACACGACCTAACGCCCTGTTGCGGACTCGGTAATCTTCTCGTATGTATATGCTTTATCCTTTGCACTGCTGTAAATGCCAAAGCTTCTGCCATGGTAAACAAAGGTGTATCGTATAATTAAAATTTATTAGGAAACAAAGTTATAAACCGTTTATCTAGTGCGAATATGGGCAGAAAGACGAAGCAAATGCCAAGGCATCAGGGTCATCTCGGGCGAGCGATTGTGTGCTCGATGAAAGAAGTTCCATGTACCGCATCAGTTCTTTTTCATATTTTAACTTGTACAGAATTGTGATTATGGGAATTTTTCATCGACAAAGAAAACACCGAAAATGTAAAAACATCGAGTACAAAACATCGATGTTTAAAACACACCGGCTTCATTACAACAATGATATTATAGAAATGTGTTGAGATCGGCATCGATATGTCATCCCTAGTGCGCAGAAGGACTCTGCTTCAAGGTAACTTCAGCCAGGGTGGACTCACTTTGTTCTGCGAACAAAGGCGGAAACATGAGAAGGAAAAGAAAAATACTTCAGATTTACATACAGTATGACTTACCTGCAACTTGTTTTGCTCCCGACAGGGCGAATTAAAACTCTTGTTTCTTTATGTGACAATGTTGATCTACATCTTTGGCTATCCGGGATGAGCCGCGTCTCGGTCAATTGTTCTGACGTTTCGGCCATCTTGCTGCCAAGAATGAATTGACTCCGGCCGCGGAAGCCTACGAACGCATATGTTGATCTGTTGAGAGAGACCTATTCCCATCTCGCCCGCTATTCTTCCGTTGTTGTACCCCATGTAGGGTCCATGATTATATCGGTCTCCGCGCTCATAGAGTTGCTACGTTGATTCACGACTTGCTGCTTTCTGTAGAGGGATGTATTTTGACCGGCCTTCAGTTTGTGTGTAGGTTTACCTTACATCCCCCACGGCTAATTATATCTGCCGATAAATCAACTGGATCATGGGCCTGATAAATCGACTGCCCTTACCCTTGATTATTGGGGATGTAAATGCCTACGGCCTACACGGCATTGCCACGACTTGAGTATTATCCAAACGTGGTAAACCTAATTGAATACAAAAAGGTGCAGAAAGAAGGCAAGATGAAATATTTTAGAAAGCAAAAATTCATCGTGGGGAGCATACGTCTACTCTCTCAATTGCTAAGCGCCCCCACCTCTGGTACGGAGGGAGATACCTCAAATTCAAGTTTATTCATCCAAAAATAGTTTCCGGTGTGCTTGAGAATGGAGCGATGATTACATCTCGAGATGCCCCTGGCCCAGATGAAATTCGCGACCGAATGCTACTTCTTCCTGAAATGGCAATGTAGTTCATCCTACGGCTTTTTAATACTCTCTGGAAGGACCACGCCGTCTCTGCTCTGCAGTGAAAGCCATCGCCGTCCCAATACTAAAAGGAGGAAGGAAGTGATAGTTGCCATCGGGCTACCGACCGACGTACAGTCTTCCTAGATGCGGGAACGCATGATACACCAAAATTTGTTCTTAACCTTGGTGAACAGAGCTGTTCATCCCGACACAATGCGGGTTCAGAGATCTCCAGATCTCTACCTTGGCGACCAGTTCCCATTAACCGAATCTGCCAGGTTCCTCGGGTTGCCTTTTATAAAACCCTTACGTGGACTGCCCGTATCCCATAATCTGCAAATCGGATCCTCTTAAATAAACTTCGCGGGCTAATTGCTACCTCATGGGAAGCCGACTTTATTTGCCTTTTGTGTAAACGTACTACCTTACTAGCAGGATTTACAGCCTTGTAGCTGGCACCGGGGACCCATCCCTAAAATGAAGAAAAATCCTATCAGGATCTTATGCCGCTAAAGTTTGGGATACCTCGAACCAGTCCAACGAAATATAATCCAGCCTGGTTATCATTCCTTTTATATTCTCCGATCATCGCTCCCGCGGCCTCAAGGTATTCGATTTCCACATGTATTGCGAGATCTGGAGATCTTCCCTCATACCCCCGTGAAACCCCCAAGCAACCTCGTTCCCCCTTGGAAACTCCATCGTTCTAATATTCACCTCAGCCTTTCCAATCTTCCCAAACAGATTTCCCGTCCCCTTGAATATCAGATAGTCTTTCACTTTTTATAATTCGTATTACTGTTTTAAATTATTCAACATGGTCCCACGACCATAACTGTCGAAGCGTTCTTTAAACCAACTCAACAAATGATTTGACGGTCTGCTTCCAAGATAGTTCGGCATCGCGTCTCAGTACACATCAGCCTCATCAATGCTTCGAGAAATTTAACTAAGATGTGTGTAAGATTGTGTTATTTTGCGTAGACCCCATGCCCACCTCTCCCGCTGGGAAAGAAGGGGATCGTGTTAAATCAAGTCGGCAAGGCCACAACTTTGATGTGCCCCCAACTGTTTCCAGATTTCGTCTGGTCTTCTCATTGAAATTTGCTGCGGCGCGCCGCGGCGAACCAAACGGCATGTCATTAGTATACAGCTGTCTTGGATCAAGGCAGTCTAAAATAAGACTGCCTTGCTTGGATATATTTAGGGGTTATATTGCTCGTAATATAATGCATATACAGAAAATTCAAGTAAATATGAATAGGTGAAAACCAGAATGGTATACGTAACATTTCATAAATTCGTAGAAAATAGTTTAATTTAATATCAATTCAATCATTGTTTGATCATTACAACCACAGCGTTTCAGTTGTTCATTAAAAGCACAAAAATAAATTGCCACTGCAATTAGCATATATATATAAACACGTATATCTCAGAATTTATAAAATGTCACTTATGTCGTTCTAGTTTTCACCCATTCATATATAATAAATACATCTACTCATAGATGAGGGAACGTGCCTGTGGGCCTTAGTGGAAGAAATACGCCTGCCTGAATTTTTTTTAAAGTTAAGAAACCCTGTTTAACCTTTAATTAATAAATGAAATATTTTTTAATTTTAAATTTTCTTTGTTATGAAAGTTTAATTTTAAAAAAATCTAATAAGCAAATAAACAAAAAGTATTTTTTGTTTCTGTGAAACGATTGGAGTTATGGTTCTTATTAACAGACGGGAAAAGCCACAAAGTTGTCTTTTATTTTATCAAAAAGAAATTCTGATGCAATGTTTGTGAGCGTGAGTGAGTGTTTACTATAAGCTTTGTCTTCAGTTTATATTACTGTGTGAAGTCGGGTGCTTGCGTGGGAAAAATGTGTTGTGGATTGTATGCTTTGAGGGGAAACCAGCTTGTGTGTTGTATGGGCTCAGGTTCGAGCACTGATCAAGACAGCATGGTGTACCGTTATGCAGACACCGACTCTGGGCTGGGCCGTGCTACTCCACCGCGGCGAGCGCCATCTCCTGGCATGAGCAGCATGCGCCACCTCCCTTCGCCTTCAGGTACGCCATTGCACCATTCACCACAGTGTGGTGCACCCTGGCTGTTTTCTCTTCAGTGGGTTGTCTTGTTTACGAGTAGCAGCGTATGGATCAGCAGTTCTTATTGTGATTTTTGCGCCATTTTCTGTGGGAGGTGTATTAGTTCTTTCTTTCGACTTCTAGAAGAAAATCAAAATATTCTGATATATTGAACACACATTATATTTGCTTATATACATACACACACACGCGCGCGCGCGCACACACACAACTATACAACTTATATAACTTTCTATTCTACTTCTATATTTGCATATCACAGCGTGTCATTGTTAGCGCATTGTCTACTGTGGACCATTCAAGCAGTTTAATTTCCCGCCTAATTGTTATTTATTAATATATAAAGTATTTGCGACGAAAACACACTCTGAGGGAAATGAGGTGCCTTTTCTCGAGGCGCTGCTGCAGGGACAACGAAAGGGGGGAGGGGCCCATTCCTCAGCTTCCGTCAGCTCGGTGCCGGTAACGTGCGACAGAGGCACGTAGGTCTACGCACCGGGCAGTTGTCTGTCGCATTCATCTGGGGTGGATGTGGTGAAATGCGTGAAACATTTGGAAAGACATTGAAAGCGGTGGCCTGCGAGTGGGACAACCTAGCCTCAGTCAAGTTCTCGTTTGTGTTCACGTTGTATTTGTTCTTTGTACACTAAATGCGCCGTTTGTTTGCGCTAAAACATATTTTCATGTCGTTTCGTCTCCCTTATGCTGGGTTTTGAAAATTTCTTTAGGAGTTAGCCCCTTTTGTTAACGATAATAGGCAATTATTTTTAGATATCCGCATCCTTAGCAAGGTTTATCACTCACTTCTGAGAGAAATTGGCACTTATGACATTTGAGGTATTGCTTGCGTTTTAGATTTTGTGATTATTTGTTATCTCGAACTCTGCTGCATTGAGTTTGTTTTTTCTTATTAATATTATGATATATCTTGCAACTTATAGTCTCTGTTGTTGTTGCTGCGGCTGCTATGGTTGTTTTTTCCAACTACGGCCCTATGGATTTCATATTCATCACCTCTTGGGTGCATTAATGTCTCAGAGTAGGCATTCTGTAGAAAAAACAAGAGACATAACAATATTTTACTTATTACAGGTTACATTATTATGAAAGGATTAATAAAAGGAGTGGTAATCTCAAAAATTGCCAAAATATTGGAGGTGTTTTTACAGCATTTGATGTAATTGAACATACATCTTTCACCCTAAAGAATTGTAAAACATGCACTGATATATCTACATGGAATCACAAAGGAACATTTTTAAACAAAATATTTTTAATTGTACATGAATCTAGTTCTTTCTTTCATTGTTTACTGATTGGATAGTGTTACTTTGCAGCATGTGTATAGAAAAGTAGACAAATGCGTACTTCAGAGAAGTCACAGCCATATCAAACAATTGGGTACTGCAAAGTAAAAACACTAGGGAAACCTGAATCAATATGAACATGGCTGTTGCCTCACATAATGAGATTGATCTCAATTATATTCTTGTAAGTTTCAACAAATTCATGGGGGGGGATATACGTAATATTTACAAAAGTTTCTTTGTCGTGCTAGTTTCAACATTGCATCAACAATTCATTCATTCACAAAAACTCACTTGAAAGATTCACAGACTTTCTGTACTAATAAATTAAATAACTGTTATTTTTCTACTACTCATGTCTCGCCTTTGTACTTATGGCTTACAACAAATTTGTAGCATATTTGTTCAAAAGGAAAAAAAGAAGAAAAAGAGGAAGAGAATCTATTTGCTTTTGTAACACATAAATTTGCTTAATGTAATACAGTAAAACTTGTTAAATTCAGAACATGTTTAATGCTGAAAGCTGTCCAATGTGAACTTAAATCATGGTCCTGCCAATCACATATTCTACAGTTTTACATTCCATAAAGCAGAATCTTATCTAATATGGAAAACAATTCTGGTCCTTTGAGGTACCGCTTTGGGCAACTTTTTACTGTATATTATTAGGTAAATGATATGTGCTTTGTAAGTATGTTTTTAGTATAGTGCTTTGTAAGTATTTTTTAATAATAGTAACCGTAACATCATAAAAAAACAAAACAAAAATCAAAGAAATGTGAAAACAACTAGAAAAATTAAAAGGGCCCTAAATGAAAAAAAATTAGAACATACATTCAGTGTAGTCTTTCAATGACATATGGCTAGCCTGGAACTAAAGTGGTTTATGGTACGGATAGTAAGAACGGAGAGAATCAATGAAACGTGATATGCTGGCGATACAAATTTTAATGTTTCCTTTAAATCCAGCATCTTCTAATGAGTAAGCAAAATAGGAATACTTGCCTTATCTGGAGTGGAGCTCTGCAAGGAATCTATGAAGCTCTGTAGGCTTACAGATCATTGTTTTAGTTCTAATGATTTGTAAATGTCCGTGTAATGATCATCATAATGCATCATAAATAGTTCCATGACAAATTTTGCTTTTGAATCTTTGAAACCATCTTGCCATCCCCCACCAAAACATGGTAATTCTTAAAGATCTGGTTTAGTAAATTGAATGACTTACCCACCATATTGTGAACAACATAAGATTGTTTCCTACAGTTTTTCACCAATTCCTTTTACTCCTTAGGGGTAAATATGTGTCTTTGCTAATGTTGAGCTGTACTAATAAATGAGATGTCTCCATCATTGGGTAAATATGTGTGACCAGTTACAAGATAGTGCACAAAAGTTTCATTAATATGTGACAAATTATTCACCACGAACATGGTGAAGAATATCATATTCCAGTAGTCTACATTACACAATGTGACTTAGACCACTTAAGAATTGACTAACATGAAAACCATCTGCCAATACTAAAGTGGTACTTTTATAATGCAACACCTGCAAAGACAAATGTCACATAGACCACTTTAGAATGTATAGATGCTCACCTGTTCAGATCAAATTTACTATATCCTGGATTTTAGCCAAAATGTGTCATAGTTCCAGGCCAGCCATATGTATGTGTGGCACTTGTGCCTTCAGATTCAGTGCAGTGTTCTCTATCCCCCCCCCAAAAAAGAAGAAGAAGAAAACTAATTGGAATGTGTAGTATACTGAAACTTTTCTGGAGTGTCATTACAAAACTAATCATATTTTTAAGAGAAATGCATGGTATACTTTTTAATGATCTACAAATTGAATAAGTTGCATCGAGAGATAAAATGTTTTTAATATTGAAGGTGTATGACATATCCGAAAAATATTTGAACTTACAGTTCTCAAAATTTCATAGTACTGAATGAATATCATAACTGGAATATATTTATAAATGCCTCTTTCCCTATACAGTCAAAAGGTAAAATTTGCAGCCATTTTTCAAAAAAATTGAAATTTTCACTGTAGCTTCATGTAAAGTCTCCCTATTAAAATATTTTCATTACCCTCAGAAAGGCACAACTACATTTTGCTCTCCTAAAGGGTTTGCCAATTTTCATCTCAAACGCTTTCGGTCTGACAGTTATGTGTGTGTGCGCATGTTTGTAATAACATTGTATTAAGTATGAGGAATAAAACAAATTTACTTGTGGTGCAATTCTGCCATTTTTAAAGGGCAGGAGCCATTTGTATACCTCTGTATGCTTGCATTTAAAGGTTCCAAACTAATTTTTCACTATTTGTCTGTAATCAAGTTAGAACAACACTTTTTATACAGTTTCTTTTCGTGCTAGTGTTGTTATTTTCTCTTAAAGTGGTTGTGTGAATTACAATTATAACTAGATTAGCCGCTGAGATTACATAATTTTTGTGAAACACTTGTGATTACATTGTCTCCTCAACTTCTCTGTTTCTTTTCATTTCTTATGAAAAATTATTCCAAGTATCTTCAAAATTTTTAATTTTATGGTACACTATGATTTAGAAGACAAATTTTCAAAATTGAAAAGAAAGCGAATGTAAGAAAACAGACTTAAAGAAAAGTGTTGCTGTTTTTCGTACCTCCCCCTCCCCTCAAAAGAGAGAACTGATGCTTCGTTAAAAAAAAAATCACGTTGTTACTGATAATTGAGGGAGTTTCGAAACTTTCACATTAAGGGTATTTTAATATTTCTTGTCTTTTTTAATCAGTGATTTAATTTGCATATTTTACTTAACTAATATTAGATAGTTAAAATGGAATAAGTATAAGTAGTACTGGCGGAATGTCTAAGGGAAAAAAATCTGTGCAGGACCTGGTTCATTGCCTCCTGGACTGATGACAAAACGGCGCATGTTTGACGATGGCTCAAGTGACATTAGTTCTACGCCAAGTTCTATGATGGAATACACAGGTAAGAACACTTTATTTAGAATTTATCAGTTCCTTTAAGCTTAAGTGAAGAATTAGATGATGAAGTGATTGAAGTAACATCTGAACCAGCAATTAATTAGTTGATTATAGCTTTTCTGTGATCAGGTGGGCACAATTTTAGTTACATAGTGTGAGTGAGATTGGGGTTTGATAGTGATAGAAACTGAAATTGGAAAATTTTGCAGCAGTAAGTATTATGGGTATAATATGAGAGATCAAAGATGCTTGAGATAAAAGATGGGAATGAACAAAATCCATTTTGTCTATTAAATCTGAAACAATATAATATGAATATAATATTAATATGAAAATATGATGGCATTATTTATTTTTATTATTATTCCTCTACTTCACAACTAAAGATGTTATGAGTCAGTTGAATATAAAAGCTACTCCAGGTTGTAACCAGTTTCCTAAGGAGCAGATCCAGGGATCGTCACTGCGTCTAAAATAACTTTGCGCAAAATGTGGGCTGTTCCAGATAAAGCAATGTCTTGCACTTTGTCTTTTGAATTACCTGGAAGTTTAGCCAAGTTTTTACACGTTTTGCAGAAAAAATTGCTGAGCTTCGATATTGGGATGACCTGTGCTTTTACGCTGCACATTCCACTGATCTCTATTTCCAAACTCTTGTATTTAAGAAGTTTCTCTACCCTATTGTTACGACGTTTTGGTTGCATAGTACAGCCACATATACAAGTAGAAATTTTTTCTCCAAATCCTGGATAAGAATATCCAGTTTGTTTGTTACTATTGTACAATCAATTTAAATTTGTTGGTCTTACAATATTGTACACAATCCAATAGACGTCGTCGAGTTTGGTGAGTTGTAACACTTCGAGTATTTGTTTTTGGAACTTCAAGGGCGGTACAGATTTGCAAGTGGAGGTAACTATACACTCTATCGTGTCTTTTCATGTACTCAGTCTTTGCTAGAATTGGACAAGCTGAGACAATATGATTAGTAGTTTCAACTTGTTCTTGGCAGATACAGCATTTATTATGTTGGAAATTTTGAAAACCAATTTTGAATCATCATCATCATCATCATCATTGCATGTTCAGAAACTAGTGGTACTAGAGAATGGCACAGACTTTTCTGTTCTAGTTTTCCATTTGCTTTTGTTTCGGCTAGCTACTCGAACTTGCCACATACTGATGCCAGCTGCCGTCTATCGCCGCATAAAGTACATTTTTTTGACACTTTCTTAATTTTTCAATTTCTGAGAATGAAAATATTATTTTAAGGATATTAAAGAACAGTAAAACATCATCCTAAATGGCAATTTTCTTTGAATATTTGGGAGCCATTTTTACAAAACTGGTATTTAAGTGCTACTGTACATTTGAAATTTGAAACTCTTTTTAACAGAAAATTTTTGAGTATTCGAAAAACTTCATGCAAAATCATTTGAAGCACATTAACCCACCACTACAACAGTGTTTAGAAATTGCTGGAAATGGGTTTAAAAATGGAGTGAGAGATCTTTCAAAATAATTATATTTGTGTAACTTTTGAAAAAAACAACAAAAATATCTAAATGAACTTTACGTCATATTAAAGAGTGTAATTATCACTATCTGTTCAAAAAGTTTGTAGAAAATATTTGTACATTAATGAAAATGAGTAATTTTGAGCTTGTTTTCACAGAAATCTGTTGTTTTCAAGAAACTTTATTTGATATTATTTAAAGCACATGTACTCAAATAAATATAATAATATGAACAAATTGCCGCTAGTATAAATATTAACGACGTGAGACAAGCCAAAAAAATTACATTTTTGTAATTTTGAAACAACAAAAGAATTGCGCAATATGGCGTCTGTCATCTTATAGAATACACCTAGCACTATTTCTACCAAAAGTTAAAAGAAAAAATCGGAGCCGATTTTGATAAAATCTTGTATTTGATTAAAATTGCTCATATTGCGCAAAAACTACTACACTTTCAAAAAAAATATACATGACCTTAATGAAAGAACTCACTATGGAGAACAAAAATTTGATTTGTTGGAAAAATCTCCACCTTCAAATTTGCAGTTGTAAGAAGACGCCAGAAAATTTTTGAAAGTTTTGAACATTGAGTTAACCGTAAAAACCGGACCTATGCCTCTTTTGTGTGTTTTCTCTATTCTTTCAAGAATTAAAAAAAAAAATTAGAGCCGTTTTTGAGAAAATTGTGAAAATGTCTCTCGGGTGTCACGTACAGTACCCCAAAATTTTAAAGAAAAACGTATGGTTTAGACGCTAGTAGTGTTCATTGAAAAAGGACAGACGGATGTTTTGAAAAAACTAATTTTTCGGTATCGGAGGACCCCAAAACTTGCATTTCTGTTGAATTCTCGAAATCAGTTTTCCGCTGCCGATAACATTCCCTTTACTCTGTATATACGTATGTATACGGGAAAGTAAAAATGCAGCACCTCTCCCTCTTCCTACTCACTATAGTAAGTTCTTGGACTCGAGAAGACCAAATCATTCACTCATTAATGAAAACAAGTTATCTCCGAGGAGGAGTTGAGCACATCATGGAATGTGTGAAAAAATACCCACTTCAGCCAAACTGTCAAATCCCATGGGTCGACGTTCACTGCACGGGAAGCTGCTGACATAATGACTTTGCTTGTACAGAATCTATCGAGATCCCTTCGAGAAATGTTTGAAAATTATTTAACGGAATGGAAACATTTTTCAAATTTTTTTTCATAGGTAATAAACGTGCTTTGGAAATTGTCGATAAATCGTCGAATCGCGAAGCGAGGAGGCATTTATCTGAGAATTTCCACAGCTCGAGTGATATTTAATAGGACTATTCCACGAGTGAAATTATGTCCAACAGAGTTCCAAAATGCGATGTATACCGCCTCCTAAGAAAAACGATTCGCAGATTATGATTGGTCAGTTGGTCGAAGCGGTAAGAAAAATTTGATTGAAAAAGCGATCTATTGAGATACACCGCCCTGAATGGGACATTTTGAATGTATAGTTAAACAGTATTGATTTTAATTTCGCGAATGGAATAGTCAGTGTAAAGACTTAAATTGAGGATTCATATTCTTTATTTTTATTCTTAGTTTTATTCTTTCCGTTCTTCATGAACATCCACATGATCACATTAATCATATTCTAAAACATTCAGAAAAATCAGTTTTCACTTTCTAAATTTATTATATTCATTTTTTTTTTAAATATAAATTATTTCCACTATAATGAATATGTTGTTATTTTGTCTTTATTATCTTTCAGGAATAATTAATTAATTTTTAAAATAAGAGTCCATAACTGTTGCTGGAACTTTTCTGAACAGTTTTTCTTTTCTACAGCAGCTTTTATCCTACATATCTAATTTCGCTTATTAGAACTGCATTGCTTTAGGACTTATCGAAGGTGCTGTCGTCGGCCTAATTAAGTCGCAAAGGTTAAACAAAGAACATGGAACATCGCGTGTTCCATGTTCGGTGTCCGTACAGGAACCCTGGGATCCCGACTACGTCCGACCGACCGACGGACCGACCGACCGACGGACCGACCGACCGACGGACCGACCGACCGACGGACCGACCGACGGACCGACCGACGGACCGACCGACGGACGGACGGACGTTTGTGCACGCCATAGTGTCAGCACTATCGATCTTTGGCGCGTGCTTAGAAACACTAAAGTGGTGCGAAACTTCGACTACGAATGAGCAGATCGATAGTGCTTTAACGTTTGAGGTGGCACAAATTCCCTGATGACTGACCGCGACTCTCGAGGACGGATTGAGACTGATCGTGGCGGACGATGACAGACTAAAAATTTAAAAGGAGGATCTCACGTTCCAAGCCTATAGGTAGTTGTAACAAAGAAAACGTTGTGACTAATTGTAGGACAGAACTTGGACTATAGGGTCCCTTTTGTGCTTGCCTGTAAATCTAGAACATTTTCAGAAAAAGCCATCAGTTATATCACACATCATTGTACACATCAATGAAAACAAGCGTTCTAACTATAATTTCTTGCCACTCTCTCTATATGTGATGAAATAAAGAATTTGATGTGCGAGTTTCTAAGTTAAATCTGCATATGTCAAGGCCATACATAAGTACGAGGGGTATTCGGAAACTAAGTACCATTTTGAAAAAAAATAGTAGAACAATTTTTTCGAATCCAATTTTATTCTTACATGAAAATTAGTTACTCAGTCTTATACTATTTTTCAACATTGTTTCCGTCAATGATCAAACACTTGTCATATGATGGTTGGATTTCAGGATTTATTTTATATTTCAGAACAAAAACAAATATTAATCATCGAAAATCACTTTATTGTTTTTCAAAATATTCCCCATGAAGATCTATACACTTTTGCATGCGTTTGAACCAATTGTCGAAGCACTTTTGCCACTCTATCTCCAAAACATGCATTCTGAATACAGCAACCGCTTCTTCAGGTGTCGAAAAACGTTGACCTCCCAGTTTGTTTTTTACGTAAGGGAATAAAAAGAAGTCATTCGGTGCCAAGTCAGGACTATACGGCAGATGACTCATCAAATCGATGTTTTGGGTGCTCAAAAATGCAGTTGTTTGAGCCGATGTGTGAGATCTCGCATTGTCGTGGTGAAGAGTGATCCGTCTTCGGCGGTTGGTTTTCCTGATTTCTTGGAAGACAGCTGGCAAACAAATGGTTGTGTACCACTCAGAATTGACTGTTCTGCTTTGTTCTAGTGGTACGGTTGCGACATGTCCAGTTTTTCCGAAAAAACAGGCGACCATCTGTTTGGAAGTGCTTCGTGCGCGAACAACTTTTGTTGGATTTTGCTCATCTTGAAACACCCATACAGTCGACTGCTGTTTACTTTCGGGCTCATACGCGTAAATCCACGATTCAGCACCTATCACGATGTCTTAGACGTGTTTCGAAGCACCGCGATCGTATTTTTTGAGCATTTCTTTCGACAATCGACACGAGCTTTTTTTTTGGAGTGATGGACACATTGTGTGGGATCCAACGCGAACAATTTTTTTTGACAGTCAAATGTTCATGCAATATTGAATGTATGCTGGTCCCACTAATGCCTAAGGTTGTCTCAATCTCACGATAGGTCACATGACGATCTTGCAATATCAGTTCACGCACAGCATCAATGATTTTCGGAACAACAACTGATTTTGGACGACCTTCGCGAAATTCGTCTTGGAGTGAACTACGACCACGATTGAATTCACCATACCATCGATAAACACTGATGCTTGCATTTACAAAGCAAAACCACCATTTTTAATTAATTCCTCTTGTATTTGATCTTCACCAGGTGCCTTATCACTATTTATTCTTTTTTTCACCTGTACCACTTCTTTTTGTTCAGGTTTTCTTTCTTCATTTTTTATTTCTCTTGTTCCAATATTACTTTCCTCTATATTTCAATATTCTATTTTCTTGTTTAACAGATCTTCAAAATACTATGTTCATCTATCTATTACTTCTTCTTCATTACTAAGTATCTTTCCATTCTTTGCATCTTCTGTCTTTTATTTGAAAGCCTTTTCTCGGCAACATAGAATTTCCTAATCTCACTTCCTTTTCTTAGCTGTTCTATTTTTTGGAATTGTTTTCTTAGCATATTTTTCTTTTCCTGCCTGCATATGATCTTAGCCTTCCTTGTTGCATACTTATATTCTTCTTCATTATTTCTTCTAAGCCTCTGCAATCTTTCAGTATGCTCATTTGTGCACATATGTAATGTCAGAGGTTTTCAAATGCCTTTAGCAATTCTTGCATCACAGTCTCATAATTTAAAAAAAAAAATGGTTTGGAACTATTGGAGATATAAAATACAGATGTAATAGGTTCTACATAGAATCACATAACTGATTTGCAAAAGATTGACTCTTCACAAAATTCAAACGACTTCTGGGAACACAGTAGATCTAATCTTGCTGTTGGGTTCCGATAACATATCAGAGGAACTAAATTGGATTCTTCCATGGGACTTAGCAATCAGTGGCAACAGTCACAAATTACCCAAAATTGCATCTGGTGGCCCTTTCAGTGTGACTCCCTAAGATTGTTTAAAAATTCCAATGAACTGTAATTTTCACTATTCATCCTTTCAAATGTGGCAGACTAATGTTGATGGTAGTTATTAGTAGGCAGGGTTATAACACTTTGTTCTTACACTACTACTAATAATAATAATTAAAACACTTGTCTTCTAATAATTCTTGATGATTAGAGATCTGAGTTTTATAAAGTTAGACTTGAGATAACCAAAGTGTATAAAATAAGTTTATGTAACAGGTTTATTCTTTTCTTCCATTAACTGCTCTCTTTGTATATTGAGTAGGACCACGACTCTACAAGCAGCCAGCTACGAAGTCCAACCGAGGAATAATGTTAAATGCAGTGGAGTACTGTGTGTTCCCTGGTGCAGTCAACAAAGAGGCTAAACGGCGAGTACTAGAAGAAATTGCACGATCGGAAAGTAAACATTTCCTTATCCTCTTCCGGGATGCTGGGTGTCAATTCCGAGCACTGTACGCTTACTGCCCTGAACGCGAAGACGTTGCCAAGCTGTATGGAACAGGCCCAAAACAAATCACCGATCGAATGTTCGATAAGTTCTTCAAGTAAGTCTTTTTTTTTTCCCGAGCTTTAGAATGAATGTGGATGGAATCCAAAATTGATAAGATAATGATTTTTAATACAACAGTGTGGTAGTTGCTGCTGTTGGTGTTGTTGTTGTTATTATTATTATTATTGTTATTATTATTATTATTATTATTATTATTATTATTATTATTATTATTATTATTATTTTATATTATCGGTATTTTAAACTTCTGGGAATAATAGAATTTTCTTCCATCTATTTTAGAGAGTTGTGCTAATGCAAATTTTCCCCCACCCTCGCATACTGTTTTTGCAATTGGTAGCTATGTCAAGAGACATCTTTTAATTGTTTTGGAACAGAGTCTAATTTATATTGTTTTGCTATTAGGTACAATTCAGGTGGAAAGTGCTTCTCGCAGGTTCACACCAAGCACTTGACAGTCACCATCGATGCCTTTACGATCCACAACAGCCTCTGGCAGGGGAAAAAAGTAGCACTGCCCAACAAAAAGGACATGCCTCTCGTCATTTAGTCTGCTGGCAGTTGGACAATGGAGACTGGTTGGCACTCACATCAGTGGCGTATGTTGACCATAGTGTCATTTGTGTCGTTGGCACATGCGCTACTTTTGGTGCATATCCTGCTACTGCAAAGGTGCTTTCAATAGAATAAGCTGAAGTTGCTTCTTATGACCTGTTCAACTGATGGACTTGAAACAGACATCAGCTCAGTTTGCAAGGGATCTACATGTTTCCAATGTTTCAGTATGTGTTGTCTGCCTGCATGTGGGTACTATCTACTTGCAAGAATTGGTATTCATCACTGCTAGTTCTTTGCCAAGGTGCTCTGCACACCATGATTTTTGTTATTTACAGTCTATAATTTTTCTTGTACATTTCTTTGTTATATTTTTTTAACGTTTTGAGACAGAATCGCTAGTGTATGTTTGTGTATATGCATGTGTGTGAGCAACTTGATGTGATTTAAGGTGTTGCAGACAAGAATTTAAGGATGTGCTTTTCTCAGAGGCCAGATGTATAAGTGTATATTGAGTATGAAATACTATTTACCTTGAATTAAAAACAATTAAATTGATACTAATTTCCATGTAACAGAGCTCACAAACCACAATGTGTATTTTACTAATGTTCTAATTAGATCTGTCAGGATGAAATGAAATAGCATGAAACAAAAAAAAAACAAAAAAAAAAAAAGCAAGAAAACGTGTTTATTCCTGATTTATTTTGAAGAACAATAGCAGTGTTGGGCATTTCTCTTTGTAAAGCGTGCCCTGAAACTACAAAGATAATCATTTCACAGAAGTCATCTTTAGTTTAATTGAAAAAACTAAGTTTTTTTTAAGTTATAAAATATACAGAAAACAAAGAACATGCATTTGATTTTATTTATTAATTCTACTCAATTTTATTTGACCTAATTCTTAAATTTGCCTTAGCCTGCAAAGGCACTATGATATACTGAAAATCTTCTAGCAGTTAATTTGCAAGGGTGTTGGGGCATACCAGTATCCAGAGAAAGGAGATATAGAAAATAGTGTTGCATTGCTAATTTAAAGTTAAATCATGGTTCACATCTGATTTAAATATCATCTTGATTGAAAATTTTGATTTTTTCATGCTATTCTTTCCACTGGATATGTGAGATGGCCCTGATATGAATGGAGAGTTGACAAAAACTTGTGAATCTGAATTGCACATTCCCACACCATAGTATTATGCGGTAATGCTGAGCAGTGCAACAATGTGTTATTTGAAAGATCTACATATTCCAATTTCCTTTTATAGGAAGTTTCCAATGCCGTGTACTCTATTCAAAACTTCATTAAATGTGATTGCTCTATAGGTAATAAACTAGATAATATATTGTGACTGAAAGATTTATTTATGTTGAGGATTGAGATAATGCTGCTATTCTCTCTTTAATGTTTCCACTGATAAAGGCAAAACTAAGAACCTCATGAGGTCAGTACTTTCTTTACAAAGCAAACAGAGATATCTAAATATCGTTGTATCTCTCGTTTGCCAGGGATGAAGAACTTTTCTTCTATTCTCTTGGGCTGGGCCATTTGAGAATTTTAACTTGTAAAGCCATGCATGTCAGTCATGTCAATTTAGGCAGTATGTTTTTTTCTCTCTCCTCTTGGATGGTTATAGGATTCTCTGCCCTATTCACCTAAAGAATTTTTCTCGTGATCCTTGCCTCATTTGCTGAAAAATGTTTAAACGGATAGTAAGATAAGCTTGTTGCAAGCAGTTTGTGTCATTCATTTAAGTCTCAGGCTGTGGTTTTTCATTATTCTAAAATGTATACATGTGTAATGTACTTGTGATGTATTGTTATTTTATTTTCTGTTGTACTTTTTAAAGTCATAGTCTGTATTATACATACAAATATTTTGCCAAGACTGATAACATCAGATCACAATTTCGAAGATGCACATGCATTATATTTAACATCTTCAAGCATCATTGTGTTGTGTATCCTTGTTGGTTGGTTATGGAAAACTTACTGACAAATGCATTTACTCCTTAGAAAAAGTAGTTTTTTGAGTATGACTGAAATATATTGTGATTTGTGTGTGTATGTTGAATTCTATGCAGCTGTGGGCAATCCCATAGAATGTTTGATTGGTACACTGTCTCAGTAGAACTAGTCTCATTCTTCCCCTTGTTCTGTGGTAGTGGGAATGTGTGTTAAGTGCCTGGTGATAGAGGCGAAATAGATTGAGCTTGCTTTCAAGGAGTCTCTGTATGTGACTTGTCATGTCGTTTATATCAAATGTTCTCCCCTTGTTCTTGAATCTGCTACAATGTATGCAAGTATTTGATGGAAGTCTAGGAGAAAATGAGGTGATTAATGCAACTACCAGTCCTCCCTTGCAATTGTGGTCAGTGTATTGCATAGTGCTTGAAATATTATTTCCAGTTATGAGTGAGGCTACCTCTATTTGTTTTTGCAAATTCTTTGTTCTTAGGCAGTCGTAAAGATTGTGTCTGAATAAGCCATCCAGAAATACTACTGCAGGTGATAATAATATTATTAAGTGTTCCTCTACTGTACAGCTCCATTGGAAATACTTGGAACATAACATGCTGTAGAGAACCTGTCTAGGGCCTAGGGTAGGTTTTTGCAGCAGAACCGTAATTGGAGTACAGAGGAGGTTGTTGGCCTTGTTACTAAAGCAACATATTAAACCTTAACTGTATATTATGTATTTTTTGTAGTGCCCTAATGTTATTCAGAAACTCAATAAAACAAAAAGTACCACTTGGAAGTCTTCTCAAACAGTATTAACTGAAGAGATGTTTCATTGATGGTGCAAATGAAGAGTTGTGTGCACTACTGAACTAAATTACTTGTATTGCTATAAGGCTACTTTTAAAAAAAAGGCACAGTCAGTTTCAAGTTACATTCCCTGAGATGAATAAATAAGATATTTTAGAATGAGACCTGTCATATTAAAGAAATACGTACATAGCCTTATGGTATTACAAGTCAAAAACACTAACAGATGTTGCAGTGATAAAATCCCTCAAAACAAGTTATGCAAAACTCTTTTTGCAAAAGAACTTGTTATTAGCAATTTCTCTTGACTATTCTTGAATGTTGTAATAAATTATACTATTACAAATTTTGAATTTATTTTTATTCACTGGGGGGGGAAAATCTGTTTATCATCTTCAATTTTAAGAAGTAATAAGAGAGAATTAATAAGAGTAACTTATAGTTACAATTTTAATTAAACAGTGAACTCTACTTCTTGAGGGTAAAAGAAATACTCCGTCATTTCATTGCCAAGCATAAGTGTGTATGACAATTCAGCATACTGCACTTTCAAGATGTCAAGTGAAATTGCAGCTGTCTTCCTTGCCAGCAAGGACCATGGTTCAATATGTATTAATGGACAAATCAGAGCAATTGTGGCTGCTTGACTTGTAACTTATAAATAATTGCATAACAGTAGCTTCCCTCAAAGAAATCAGTAACAAGCCTTGCAATGAGAGCAATCAACAGAGCATGCAATGTGCTCTGTGAAGGTAGTTTATGATTCCATGATGCAGGAGAGCAAACCACACCTGAATCAAAGACATGTGAAAATTATAAATGTGTGCTTACTAAAATGTAAATCATTTTGTTTTTTACCAAAACATGCTGCTAATTTGAATCATAATGTACATATTATGTTTTTATATATACATATATTTATTAAGTAGATTTGGGTCATTCATTGTTAGTGTCAATAAATAGAATTCAATAAATCAAGCTGCCCCATTGGTCGCTGGTCTGCTTCCTGTTGCATGAGGGTTTCACATTGTCCCAGTCTTTGCTCCAGGACCAGCGAAAGATATGTTTAAACAGCGCACATGCTTCATACCCACCTATGCCAGGTTGTTATCTGCAGATTCTGAAAATTGTTCAATTGGAATTCTGATGTTTTGACATACGGTTCACAGGTGGTGATCCACAGGCATTACATATTGAATTTACTATTAAATCCATTGCATTCGAACCTAATTAATGATTCAGGAGGGATTGGCCATTTCTAAGTTTAATTTTATAACAAAAGTTTTTTTAGGTTTTGCAAACATTTTATTTTACCTTTCCTCCAATAATCTATAGTCTGAATTAGTCACGAAAATTATTAAATTTTAATTGTATTATTGTGTGAAGGAAATATTGTATTCAAAGTACCAGCAAAATAATTAACTTGTAAATTAAGCATCTAAAAATTTAATTCAGAACCTATTCAAAAAGTTTGGATTGAAAAGAATGAACACATTTCATTTTGGTAGTTGCTCAATACAATCCAAAAAAGCTATTTCCATATTTCCTTTTACAGTTGTAAGAACTTAAGTATAATTCTTGAAGATGATGTACATGAAAAAAAATTTAAAACTATTTTACCATGTGACCCAACATTATTCCTAATACGTATAAATTAGTACTTTCCTTACAAGGATCACCAAGTTCTAAGATAACAAAATTCTGACTTTAAAAGAAATTGAAGCATCTGAGCTAAGTCACATTTAATGGTAGTTTCAAAAGGTATGAAAAGACATAAGATTACAGAAGTGAAGTTTTTGAGAAGCAATCAGTTTGGCAAAATTTGTTGCTACTAATTGGGCATGTGCAAACATCTGCACTTTGTAAATCATTGTTTTAAAAGCACATCCATATTGTAAGGTGAGGACGTAAACAACATTATTTTTTGTAGCAACTTGATATTGCGTAGGCAAACTTCGTAATATTGCTAAGCATTTACTATTCGCAAACAGACGTTTGTTAAGATATAGATTAGAGCACGAAACAACTTGTGCTCCCTCTGGGAATCCAAGATTGGGTTTTAAAAATTTGGGATGCCCAAGGTAACGTGTTGTGGGTTGCACGTATATTGTTGATTTCTTCAATGATTAAATTCTACATTTTCAAGCCCAATCTGTTTGATGCTCCCCAGGAGATAAATCATACTAAACCGCATAAAACTGTTGCAAAAGTTATCAATGATCTTTCTACTGCAGAGAGGAAATAATTAATCATGTATTCTCATTTCATCAATAATGAAAGTGAAGAAATGAAATATGTAATATTTATGCACTTAATAGTACTTACATGAGGCATAACTATCTTTCATTACTGTGGGCAAGAACCACTTCAAATTTATCACCCTGAAGAAGCATTTGGGAAAGAACAGCATGCATAACAAAAATATTTTATATAAATTACAAAAATACTTTTTGATCTTCAATATTTTTTTATTCATGATCTTGTTAAATCACATAAGAAAAAGCAGATCAAAATGAAAGCACTTTCAGAACAGTTATACACATTGAGTGAGCTGTGCCCACTGAGAAATACTAGTGAGATTTATTACAGCACAGTAACAAGTTTTGCAGCCAACTGATCCAGTTCAGGCATGCTAGAGATGTTATCACAGAAGAATCCATGTCCGTGAAGGACACTCCATTATCATTAAGAAAGAATACTGACAGTCATTGTTGCCAATTTGGTGTAGCATGTATTAACACACCTTAGATTAGACCAATGATTCTCAATTGTCAGTATTTTATTATAACAAAAATAGCTTTTGTTGTTTGTATGTATCTGAAACTAATTAGAGCGGAGCTCTGTTCAGTCTCTGAAAAAAATTATAATTTAGGAACAACAATGTTCTGAAGCAATTCACTTCTTTACATGTAACGACAATCGCAGATTGTTGTTCCCCAGTAATGTGGTGTATGTATATATTATTAAATAGTTTTCTTAATAGTATAAAATAAAATACGTTTGCTTTTTTAAATAGACGTTTTATAATTAGTTTTTCATTCCACTCTTTTTAAAATTATGCTCCTATGTAGAATTTCAGATCTTCGGGGGCGGGGGGTACAGGTTACTGGGGTTCCACTGTAACGTGCTACAAGGATATTCATTGCAAAATATCTGACAAAAATATAATTTATATCAACATGCAGCAGCTTGAGAATTATTGGTCTAATCGGTTTTAATTTGAATGAATTAGTCAACACAGAGATGGCAAATGCATCCCTTATTTTTGCACTACACTGGTGCCATTTGTAATGTCACACCATTTGTTTTATCACAGGATGAACATGTAACTGGAGGCAAAAAACAAAAACAAAACACACAACATGCAACAACAATCCATATAAGGTACATATTCAATGACTTAAATAAGATTACAATAGAACAATTATAGAAAAAGTGAAACATTAAGAATATTTATCTAATCTAATCCTGAACAGTATATCAGTTTCATTCACCTTCAATAAAAGGATCATTTAGCTTTCTATGAGAGATACAAATGCTTTCTTTTTAATGTCGAAAATTATGATACTGAAATAATATTGAAATACTTGTCTCTCTTCACAATCTTATAATCTTCTGAATTAAATGGGCTCACCTGTTTCTCACGGAGAGGACTTTATATACCAGTGAAGTAAAGTCCTATTTAATGGAACAATGTTTCAAATTGGGAAGCATATTTGCCAATTACAATGGTCATTTTTTCACTTGAACACCATAATTGTGTTTTCCATTCTCCCCAGCACAATATAAGTCAAATGACAGCAAAATATTAAAGTACACTTATTACACTGTTTCTCACTTGGTGCAAAGAAAATTTAGAAAAACTCTCTGGAAACAAAATAATAAATCTCGTTTGGTGTATTCTAAATCTCCTTGAATCTGCTATACTACAGAAAATAATGAAAGCAACTTTGTTGCTTTTACACAATTTCTTCAACACAAGTGCCTCATAGAGAGCTTTACTCTGGTTACTGCACACAACTTCAATTGATCCTCATATTAGCACTAAGACGTTTCTTTAATCACAACAGTTGCCAGATTCACTTTTATTTGTATTTAATACTATTATGTTACAGGTAAAAGAACCATGACACAACTTACAATTGTGGTTAAATATGAACTACTACAAAGCATTTTGAGGATAATTTGCGAGCCTGACTAAATCTTTTATAGACCCTTTTGAAATTGTTGAAAATTTGTTAAGCCGAAGTTATTTAACTAGGCTATCAGTGATGGTTAAATGTGACAAAAAGCATTTAGAAATAACAATAATTAATAATAATATAATAATAATAAAGAAAGGATAATCTGATATTATGCTAAATGAACACATTCAATCTCTCATTTGCATCAACCAAGCATTTGGATTTTAAAACAAAATTTACCTTATAAATATTCCTTGTGACTGCATTTGATGAACAAAATTAGTTCTTGGCAAATGCGAATAACAATTGTTTCTACATATTAAACAGATTTTAGAAAATTCAAATTTTTCTAAATTATATAGCACCCACAGGCATATTATCTTTTCCTGCTTTGGTGAGTAACCCCCAATTAAATAAAACAGTAATATTGTGCATGTCTTTATGGGATTTTAATTTTCTTGCGTCTGCAGTTAACACAACATACCTCCAAGCCCCAGGGGGCATTTAGCGCGTTGTCTCCAATGGGGTCTTTGAGCAAAGACCTGCTTTATTTGTGATGATATCTAATGAAAGCAAATGTAGTTTACTGGACAGAACAATGAATATTTTTCGAAAATGGTAAATATTCTAGGGGCTTAGAGAATTATCTCTGTTAAATCAACTGGAAGGTTTGGTTTTAAAAGATTTAAATATTATACAAATTGTTTTTATTAAAAAGACAGTCCTACGTAACCTGGTAAATATTCTGGATGTAAGACTATGAAAACTCCCCTTGCATTTGCCAAAAAATAATGATAGTCTAGATATGCAATGTTACGTATCTATGTAAAATTAATGATTGTCATTTTTTCTTATTTTCTTTTCAAAGATCTTGAGAAAGGCAAAGAGACAACCATTAGTTTATTTTGTTTTCACCTTAATTTATCACAGGATACTTCAAAACATGACGTGAAAAAAAGCTATAGTAATCACAACAAAACTTGAAATCTTAAGATAAAAGAAAGCATAATTTGAACTCTCTTATTTATAAAAAGAACATTACTCAAAAGAACAATCGATTTGCTGTCAATCCCAAGTATTCACTGTCAAGGTTCTAATAATGCAACTAATGTACTAACATTTCAAACATCATTTCGATTTGATTTTCACCTTAACTACTTAAATGCTTAACCATTAATAGAATGATGAGCCACACTCAATTCAGTTTACTTACAAATAGAAGTACATTTTTATTTTTTTAATAGTTTTAAGTAAGTAAATTCCTTTGTAAATAAAGGAAGGTGAACTTTTGTTACAATTCGAATCAAAATACTTAGTAAAATCAGCCATAAAAGCTTTTCCATTATGTGTATACTCAAAACAAAACCTTAAAATCAAAAATTCTACATTTTATGTTTACTTTATATTGAAACATTAATGTCTTGCAAAATAATTTCTATATAAAACGTGTTTTTAAACTTGAGCAGGAAAGTCCCATATCAGGATAAAACTTTACCCAACAATTGGATTCAACTTGAAGATATTAAAATTAGGTACACTGAAAAATACAACTACACATTCAACTCTTATGAATTCCCACTTGATATTAACTGAAATAAACTCGAGTATCATTCAGAAGTGGGAGTCAAAAAATAATGATAACTTACTGAATTAACTACCCTCAAAAACATTTTTTTTCCAAATAAAACAACTATTTATAGTTAGTAAAACTAGATGTATACTTATTTTCTTTCATGAATTAATATATATTTCTACAAATAAGAATTGAGCCCTACACTCATCACATATCATTTGATGTTTTGCCTTTCATTTCCCATCCAATCTGTTTTCTCAATACAAAATGTAATTTCTCCTGCTCTCCAATCAGTAAGCAATTATTCAATTAAACATCTAATAATATTACAAATCTTTCCCTCCTCAGGAGAGTGAGAGTGCAGGGACACATTTCTAAGCATTAATATCCTGAAGATCAAAATAAGTTAGAAATAGATCTTGGCTAGAAAAACTAACTGATAGTTAAATAATATGAATTTCCCATCATAATGCAGTTATGATTTAACCAGTTCACATTTATGATAAAAGAATGACAATATTGCTTCAAATATTTTGAACTATCTTGAATGCCAACGCACCTTAAAGCTTCTTTTTTGTAAAGAATAAGGCTATTTCTTTGGTTTTTAAATAGAAACCAAAAATACTGATCAGAAGTAACACAACCAAAAGAGCTAATTTCTATTTTGTGATGATGTGTTCCAGAGATGTGATATTATATCACAGAGAGAAGGCTAAGACAAAAAGTGGCTTTGCACCATAACCATACCAGCTGAGCAAAATCATATATATTTAATTTTCCTCTACTGTGATAATTAACAGCTCCACATAGAAGAAAGAGCAAGCCAACACTTGCACACACAGCTGAGATTTTAACTTTCAAACAAAACACTAACTTTACACAGAATACACAACAGCATCAACGTAGCCCATATCTAAACGGCGAACAAACATTCCTGTACCTCCAATATCAGCATGATCACAGAACCGAAACTCAATGTCACGTGTTCGCTCTGTCTGTGCCATGAAGCTCAATGGATATTCAAAAGCATGTTCTTCATCTGTAGGAAGCACAAAAAGGAAACTGTATTCTTTGCCTGCTGAGAATCGCACTGCCTCGGTGAGTGTAACTGTAGCAAGAGTGTTATACTCTACAACATCCCTAAAGTGAGTGCGACATAGCACTGACCCTTGGCTGTCCAACACTGAAACCTCAATGTTTTCCTTGTATTTCTGAGGTGTTGTGAAACAAGAAAATGCTGCAGGTACCAGTCGTGTGAATATACGAACACCACTCACCACCACGCTGTGGTCTGCCTGCACATTCGCCAACAACCGAACCTGCCCTGACACAGTAACTGCTGTTTTAAGGAAGCGACGAACACAGTAGAATTGGTTGATGGAGATTCGTGCACGTGGCTGTGTTATGCCGGACCAACCAGGTGGTACATCTACACTTTGGTTGCTGTGGCCATAGAATTTCTTCTCCTCCACCTTTAACTTCCCACCTGCAAAATTACCACAGATTTGCTAAATAAAAGAAATTCATTGACATGAAAGTTGTTTTAATTTCTATGATCAAAATGTCAAAAAGTATTTACAACAATGGGGAAAGATTACCCTCAGATTTTCAGTTAAAAGTATTAAGTAAAATGGTTATTAAAATATTTATCCAATATGAGAGTGTACTCCCAAAACCGGGAGTTGTCTTATTTTCCCACACGAAGAAAAATGTACTAGTATGATTAGATTATGTATGTGTCTCAAGAGCTGAACTCTCAAAAACCGTAACAAATAGTCCCAAAAGACATTCCGAAGATTACAACATGAGGAACGTAACTTGAGAGCTTTAGCACAAAGCTGTAAGATATTAGCACTCACTCTGTTTCGAGTTGTGCCTGATTGACATCACAAAATACACTGTTGAGTGGATCGTATGTTGTAAATTGCATTTCCCCCCAACTATTTCAGGTACATTTTTCAACAAATCTTTACTAATAAAAGTTAATTCAACAACTTGTAATCGACATCGATTCCACAAAAAGGAGTGTATGAAGAGATATGAAGTATTTACAGGGTCTTGTCCTAATTATTTTAAAATGAAAGTACAATTCATCAGCTCTCTGTGACACATTCTCCCTTTACAACCTCATTTGTTGCAATTGGATTAGGTGCAAGAATTTGAAAAAGAATTGCATTACAGAAATGATCAATCAAAAAAGTTTAGATATTTGCTTAGAATATTTAAATAACGTAGATGCATTTTTTTTTATTTCATTGGTTAAAAACAAATTTAAAATTATATAAACAAGACCAGTCTTATATTTTGTTAATATGGTGAAGATTAAAAAAAAATTAAATTCCAGATGAAAATAATGTTCAAGAAATTGAGTAAAATATTTAATGTAACAATTAATAATGATAAACTTTACGAATGAGTAAAACTGTACTGGAATAAATTATTTTAATTTCCAGAGCGAATTACAAAGGTTAGAATCAGCAGAAAGCATGCTCCTGCGTTATTCATTTATTAATAATAAAAAAATATGTCACTTTAAGTTACTAACAGGTTTAGGGGAAATGGATTAACAGTGGAAAATAACAACATTGTTACCCACCGATGGAATCCTTATTGCGAAGGTTTTGAAGGGCACACTGCAATGCATAGGCTTCCTGTGAGGAGAGTATGCCTGACCGGAGAGGACCATCATTAAACTCTTGCAGGGACATACACAGCATCCGCAAACGAGATAGCAGCCCAGCCTTCAGAAGTGTAGAGCGAACACCCTCGGGTGAATTGTCAAGGCCCATTTGGCGACGTTCTTCATGGGCCCACTCCAGTGTCACTTCAAACAGCTCAGCTTCCCCTATATTGAGGGCATTTTGCTCAAGCACAGTTCGAAGAGCCAAAGGAGAGGGATGACTGCCAGGTGCTTTCAGAACTTCAGAAGCATGCTGACAAAGAACCTGTTCAGAAATGTATGTTTACAGCATTTGCCATTATTCAAAAGTAACCACTGAATAAAAATATACAAAGTTCAAACTCTACATTAAAATTGAACTAATTGAATTACTTATCCATCTTATTCTTACAGTTAATGTGAATCATAACTAACAATTTCTTCTCGAGTATTTTAAATCTTTTTCAGTACTGCATACTTCCAAATACCTACTTAACCTTTATAGCAGCTTGTATTGGATAAAATGCGTTGAAGCCTCTTATACACATACAGTTAATAATGCAATAGCACATAGTGGTGCATTTGAATTGGCAATTACAATTATTTTTTAATTACATATGATGGAAAAATTATTGTTGACAAATTATTATCAATGGTAAGTATGTGTAAATAAAATTCTTATTAATTGTACGCTTGTCTGAAGTAGTTAATCATCATGTTGATAAAAGGTGTCCTAAAATAAATAAATAAAAAATTGTAAATTGAAGATAAACTGTTAAAGTTCAACGAGAGTGAGCCCTACAATGATTTTTTTTCTATTCCAGTAATGATATAAAATTATTTATTACAGGGATGCAGCAAAACTCAAATGCATACATCTATAATTACATAGTACATCACATCATGTATCACAATTCGTAGTTCATCCTAGAGTTTATCAGGTCACTTCAATTTCTCGGTTGTCCTCGAAGTCTAACGTCTGGGCAACTAATGAAAATTTCCTCAAATTTAATTTCTGTGTGTCATACTCTCCATTAAGAATCTTGAAGATCTCAATGAGATCACCTCTTTCTCTTCTGCACGCCAGTGCTGTGAGTCCAAACTCTTGTCATCTATCTATTGTTGTCATGTTCTGCAGCACCCATAGCAGTTTGGTTAATTTTCGCTGCAGTTTTCCAAATGCTGAATGTCCTTTTTGTAATATGGTGCTCTTACAACACTGGCATATCCCAAAATTGGCCTCACTTAGGTTGTATTGGCTTGTTTAACTAGTGGGACAGTTAAGTCAAGAAATGCCTTCAGGGTCAGGTAAACAGAGGCATTAGCCTTTCTGGCAATGGCAGCAACTTGTTTATCCCACTTGATTAACTGAGATATGTATCACTCTAATTATGTTCACAGTCAGTGCCTTTTGGGACAGGCTGTGAACCCTAAGTTCCCAATGTTAATTACCTCAACCATAAAAAAATAGAGTAAAGTTCTCCATTTATTTTATTTGTTTTCTTACCTACTTTAAAACTAGTGGCACTTCAACAGAATGTACTTTCTCCCTGTATTTCAAACAGAATTATGCGAAAAGTACATCAATTTTTGAAAAATTGAACAAGACCCTATTTCAAAACCTATCTTTAAAGGGACAGATTTCATTAAGGGAAAAAATATTTATGTTCAAAATTGTAGTTGAAGGAAGGTCCCCATCAAATTTTGAACTTTTGCAATTTTTTTTGAAAAATCAGGGTTTTTAATGAATGTGAGTCCTGCATCATATCTTAGACATCCATCACATTATTCAAAAACAAAATTTAATCAAAACTGACGAACCTATTTATTTTATAATTTTGAAAATGTTCCAGGGGCTTCATGTAAAGTACCCTCAAAACTGAAATATTGGTTTCTAATTCAAGGGGCCACAACTTCAGCAACTTGATCAAGTAACAGAAATCCAAAAGTTAGCAATACACGGATGAATGTACAATAGGAAGTATTATAGCTGATGCAAGATTAAAGGGATATTTTTCACAGGTGTACGGTACAAACAAATCTATAGAGGTCTTAAATAGGTAGTTGATTTTATTAAGAAACAGAAAATGTAACATTACATCCAATGTTTATAAAAAATATGTAAAAGTAACATGTGTTAAAACAATTGTAATTTTGTAGAAATACAATTATTACATATACACCCCAAGTATTTGATCAGAAGCAAAACACTGACCTTGATGCACGCCTCTAGTAACGCATTCTCTTGAACCTCATCAGCAAAATCAAAAACTGAGAGCACATTGCTGGGCCGCAGATTGGTAACCAGATACTCCCGACAGGTACGAGCCAGATGGGGCATCATATATTTTTTAGCTGCATAAAGTACTCCAGCTGCCTCCTCACATGACGATAGCTGCACTTTGTCAGTGTAAATGTACCTGCAACAAAAAATTACATTAATTGATTGATTACTAGTGATTCTGGGTGTGTCAACTGCTAAGGTCGTTTGTCCCGTAAGTGTAGTTGATGTTTTTCTCTGGAGGTGGCAGTGATTTTGCCCAGTTGAATGGTGAGATCCAGCACCAACCTACTGTCATTTAGTGGAGTTTTCCCCAACCAGTTATGTCCCATCAGCGGGGCACCACCCCAGCTAGGACAAGCTGTCCAGTCTCCCACATGTGTAATAGTGTAGTGCATGTAAGCATGAGAGGATAGGACAAGGAATGGGAAGGGAAGATCGTGTGTGGCCTGTTTGGTAGGGCTCTGGTATTCGCCTGTTGTTGACCAGAGAAACCACGGAAAACTATCGTTCAGAGCAGCCAACTGCTAGAATTCTCCTCCACACAACGACAAACCCAACCTAGCTATCTGGCTAGTGTCAAAAATCGTGCCACCATCAGGATTCAAACCCCAAGACCTCTCGGTCAGAGGCACTGCAGTGACATCAGTTAATGCTCTGAGCCACCTCTCCCAGAACAAATAAAAAGTACAATTTTAGTGAACCTCATTGTAACCTGCAGTTTAGGAAAATATTTTCATCAGTAGAAAAAAAAAAAATTTAACCCGCACACATACTTCAACCAATTACATGTATCACATATTTTCCCAAGCTCTCATTTAGCTAAATGCAAGAGAAGAGATGGAGGCTTAGCTATTTCATAGAAAGTACTATGAAATAAAATCTGTACCTCATTAGCCAATACAAATAATTCATATTACTCAGGAGAAAAAAAAATTTATGTTGAAATGTTAACAACAACACTTATTCAGAATTCAACTGGCGGAAAAAAGGAGGAAGGGAATCTGGAACTCAAAAAAATGTATGGACATGATTATCATATATGACTGCACACAATTGTAGGTAAATTGTAATTTTTTGGGGGATTGTTTTACAATTTATAGAATCCCTGGATAATAAATCTGAATATTTTAGTACCATCATTATTGTCAATTTGAAGCAGCTCTAATTTAGGTTATCAATTACCACACTGTGTAGTGTAACAGTTATTAGACTATTTCCATTGTCTTAAAAACTATCGCTACACCAGAAACTATAAATTCAATACAAGCATCGTAGATAAAAATAAAAACTAGAGTCCAAGGAAGATGCAGAGTAAGGTACATTTGAGCTATTGACAAATATTTGGCAGTTAAATACTTTTGACTACTTTACCTAATGTAAATATTGTGTAAAAAACACATTTCTAGAAATAATTTTTCATGTACAAACTATTATGACCTCAAACCAAATTAAACTATAAGTAATTACTTGTTGGAAGGAAATAATAAAACATGATTATTGGCGATTCTAAAAAACTGTAAATAAGGCCAATACTTACTCCAAGAGAATTCTGAACACAACAGGTTCCATATCAGAAACATTAATGCATGACTTCTCTGCCAATGGTCCAAAACACATAGCTTCAAACACAGGACTGGAGGAGGCAAGGATTAGGCGATGTGCCTTGAAAACCTATGAAACAAAAAGTCTTCAAAAAAACAAACAATGCCATTCACAATACCAAAACAAAAAAAAAAAATTTAGTATTACACCCTCAAATAATACACACCATCATATTTTTACCACTTTATAAGCATATCTAAATAAATGAATATTTCACAATTCAAACTGCATTTATGTAAATAGCTTTAACTTTCAAATTATTACAATCTGAATCGCTCTTATGCAATATCCAATTGACAATGCAATAAAAGTATAAATAATTTAAGAGAATACTGCATACCAAACTAATTAAGTACTCTTAAATAACAGCAAACCAATCACCAATTTCATTGTTAAATGTATGTTACATATTCATCAATAACCATACCCTTTATAAATTCTACAAATATGAACAAATTGTCAGAGGAAAATTTATTCAAGGTGATTTTTATAAAATCTTCAAATAATGCAATGAAAGTTACTTATTTATTTCAATAATTCTGATTGAAATTAAATCAGTAAAATGAAAATATAAATTAATATACGCTGTAAATGATAGCTGTTCACTACTAACAGTCATCAATACAAACTAGAACAAACCATCAACAATTAGACCCTTCACAGACATGTTCATTATAAAGTCTGCAGGTTCCTGAACACTATTACAAAATCACCTTAAATCAGTTTTCATATACTAATGAAAACTAATAAATTCATTGTAAAATAACACAAGTATCATCACATAAAACCAACATTTAAAAATTACAGGAATTTTGTCACTCCATTTTTCAACATATATTAACTAATAGTTTTCACTTTGTAGTCCATGCAAACTTGCTTATTTTTTATGCATAAATGCAAAAATAACATGCCTTTAATTCGATAATAAAAGTGCAGAGTTTATAATCAACTAACGTGTGTTGTCAGTAGATTAGACTATTAATAGGACAGTTAATTAAATACTTAAATACATTAACACTAATAATAATAATTAGTTTATAACAGAGCCAGTAGGATGATGATGGGATTTGGTTGGTTAAATAAAATTTTGATATACCACGTAAAATTATAATTTCTATTTATCCTGACAAATTCCTATCAATATCTCTCTAGTTATCTACTTGTTGTTAAATACAACATATTTATGATTAATCAGGAAAAAAATTGAGGTATTATGTACCTGAATATCATTTTGCCCTTCAACACGAAAAGAACAATCACTCCATTGGGAAGTTCTAAACAAGGCTTGAATTCTGTCTACCACATTCTCCTTTGAAAGTTGCCAATCCATTCCATCATTGACACAAGTCAGAGCCATCTACAACATGTATAAAATATAAATTACATAGTTCAAGAACACACACAATTGAGAAATGTCAATTAATTTATGTCCAAAATAACGCCATTTAATCTCATGAAAAACTTCAAAACAAAAAACGTTGAAAATACTACATGGCAATTTCAAGTTTACACAGCTATTTCAAATTTGCAGACCACTTTACTTTCCAGGTAAATTTGTAAATGATATGCTCTACTTGTTTGCAAACACGTCCAAGTAATGACAATGAAAAGTGCTGATGGCATTCCTTTTCTTACTTAATAATACCTAGAAAAGCACCCGGATAAATATTAAATGCACAGTAACTGCTATGTCATAAACGAAATTATAAAATAATATGTGATAATAACGGGTACCCGTTGTATCATAACAATTGTTAGGTGGATCATAACAAATACAGACCTTCAAAAATTCTTACATGTGACCTGTGGCCTTGAACCTTCTGGTGTGTACTTATTATGCTTTTGTTAAAGGTGATCAGCCGTCATCCACCGCACAGTTCCCAACTTCGCACGTTTGTATGTATCACTGCTTACACGATCATTATCGTGCTACAATGTTGCCTCACCAGTAACCAAAGTACTGATCAATTTACTCTCTGCACTGATCTCTATATATTACTGAATAGGCAATCGTAAACCACAAAGCAGCGCGAAACTTTCCGACTTCCAGTGTTCGCCATATTGAGTAAATCAAAGTGTTTTGGGCAAATTTTAACAAGGGGAAATTATTTAAATGTTACAATAGGCCAAATGAGCTCCCTTTATTTTTATTTTGTGAGAAAGTAAGAGAGTGGGTAGGTGAACAGCCGGCTGTGTCGTTTGTTCTGAGCGGCCGTGCGTTTTGTATTTAAAGTAAATGGACAGTTTGGTTATGATAGTGGTAATTAAGTTTTACAAACAATCGCCAGTGGCGTAGCAGTTGCTTATCGTAGAGGTGTGAAAATGAAGAGCAATTGCCAAAAAAATATAAGAATCTGATGCCAATGACCCAGTTTCAGCAGGCAACAATTCAAAATTTTCAGTTTTGAAATATTGTCATTTTAAGTTTACTAAGTTCAATATCACTCTGAAAATATCGTTTCATTATTTGAAATGTATTATTATTTTGTTCTTTGATACTTTACATTTCAAATTCAAGTGATTTAAACCGAGAATATACTTTATTATTACTATTGTTCAGTTAAGACATAAATTTCAATTAAAATTCAAACATTTCAAATTCATTCGCCATATATTTCAAATTCAAATGATGTAAGCCGACATTTTCAGTGAATTTTACTTTATTGTCTTAAGAAGAGAAAGTTATGTAATGCTTCAGGACAAGGCGGCGAGCTTTCGATAAAAAAAAACGGGCCCTGGTACTATACGCGCACGTCTTCTTGAGTCTCGGAATACCTACCCCACCATTTATCAACATTAGTTAAGAATAAGTTATAGCAACGACCGTTATAAACAAAATTTATTAGATGGATAGAGTTTGCTCCCGTGTAATAGTAACTATTTTTCATCGAAAAACGAACAACAATTTTTATATATGAATCCTTTTGTCAAATAACCAAACACCCCACTCCTCTCGCAACTAGCGAAACGAGGGCTCAAGAAAACGTGCACGGATAATAACAACAAAGTGGATGAATCCAGTTGCTAAATTTAGAAAAAAAGTTCTCTAACACGCGGTGTAGCCAGTATCCACGTTTTGTGGGTCCTAGATACCGAAAAATCGATTGATGGCAAAACGTCTGTCCGTCTGTTAACAACGTGATTTAACATAAAAACATAAATCAAAATGGATAAATTAGTATCGCAATAACAAATAATTAGATTAACAAAAAGTACAGTAAGGAATAAAAAAAGTAAAGCATAGCAAAGGGCGATAAATTAAAAATTAATTTCAGTGGCTTCTTGAATTTAAGTGTCATTAACACAGAAGTTATTATCATTGCACAATTCATTGCCTCACGCGAACTTCTGATGAAAACTTCATTACACATTGAGTTTTTTCTATAATTAGAAATATAAAAAGGTAGGTGAATTCTGTTATTGCGTTACGGAGCACAAGAATATTTGGACAGTTCATATCTCCAGATACGAGTATAATGCATGAAGATGAGATCGTGATACAGCTGATAGTGTTAGTATATTCATTCTTGCACGGATGTTCTAGTAGATATGATATAGTCTTGAGTTGTCAGTAAATGCTATATGTCTCAGAATTATGTTCTGGACTCTTTCGATGATTGTGCATGAAGCCTCAGAATAAGATGACCAGACTATCATTGCATATTCCAAAACTAGTGGTGCTACTCGTACTACAGCGTATACTTTCTTGCGTTATTGGAAACTGCTACGTAATATTGATATATTGCATTGTCTGCGCTACTAACATCTCAGCTATTACTTGAAAATGTCCATTTCAACCAAGAAGCGGGCAACGCACTGTTGCCAGCACAGCGTTGTCAGAAATATTCGCATTCGCTTGGCGAATAATATAAATTCTTGGCAAAAACGCTTCTTTCCATCTGTATTCGAATTTCAACTTGTTTATAGGTTAGTCATGGTACATCATACACAGTTTATAAATAACTCTAATGCAAATAAGCAACATAAATTACTAACATACTACGATTTGTAATATTAAGTTAATTTATTACCGCCTTTTTATATACTGTGGCGTCGTGGTAGCGAAATGACAATAAGACACGAATTCTTTTCACAAACCTATTTATTTACAATAAATTAGCTTAATATTACAAATAGTTGAATATTAATTAGGTTAATAGTGTTAGAGTTATTTATCAACTGAGTATAATGAACTATGACTAACCCATAAACAAGTTGAAATCCGAATACAGATGGAGAGAAGCGTTTTTGCCAAAAATTGATATTATTCGCCAAGCGGATGCTCATAGTTGTGTCAACGCTGCGCTGGCAACAGTGCCTTGTTCACTTCTTGGTTGAATCGGACATTTTCAAGTATTAGCTGAGATGTTAACAATATATCGTAGTTTCGTAGTTTCCAATAACGCAAGAAAGCATGTGCTGTTATTGCACCATTATTGTAAATGGGGGCGAGATATCGTTGCAAACATTACGTAATTATTAGAGGGGGATCAAGCGCGTGTTGTAATGGGGAGAGAGGATACTCAAAATACTCCAAATTTTCGTTAATTTATGGACAGCGCCAAAGCGGTTTTGAACTGAGCGCCACTAGCGCGCGCCTGCGGTTTCTGCACTCGCCGCACGGGCACAGCGCTCTCTGGTGCCAGCGGAGCGGTGCGCGAACGCACCCGGCTGCTAAAAGTAATAAATAGGAAGATATACTTTGGCTCAAACTTTTCAAAAGTATCCTCACTCCCCGTCAAAATGCGTGTAGATATGTTAGATTAATTCGTGTGAATAGTAATAATAATTCCTTTTCCGCGCTCCGGAGGGCACCAGTGAGCGCTGAGTGACGCTGGCCCCGCCGCGGACAGCCAAATACCAACCAAATGCTCCGCGACACCCCCACTCGTCGCTGCCGGGCCGGCTGAGGCGTGGTTCAGGACAGGGAGTTGGTGAATTCTTTGCAAAGAGTTCGCAATCTACATTGGAAGTGAATGGACAGTGCTGGTAGAAGTGAGTGATTAAGTGAGCGTAAGTGTTATACTTGAAGACAGAATTATTAACACGAACTTGATAACTGTTGCAAATAACTCCAGTTCTGAAAGGCGTGGTTCATAACTCTATGTAGTCGGGCTTGGACATTGCTTTTTAATGAAGAGGGCCGGTACATTCTGTCTTGGCTCACTCGTGCTAAAATCGCCCAGTGACTGTAAAGACAACCAAGATATTATAAGTAATCGTGAATTAAAAATGTATCAAGATTTCAAGGAACACTGTTAATGACTGGTAATGTGGCTCAGACAATCGTGAAAAAATGGATTTCAAAATCAATGGCCTTCCCCGACACTTCACCGCACTTTTCATTCATCATCAGTGAGTACAATAACCGCCCATGCTCAGGGTGTCTTGTACGTGCGTCACAATCCTCCGAGCTACTTCGATCGCATCGGAGCAGCACTTAAAAGAAGGCCCGATTACCCATTGTGGGAGTCTTGGTACGGTATTATATGTGGGGCCCCTTATATTATGATTCACTCCATTTTTCATTCCTAACGTTTGCTTAGGACCGGGAAAACATTTGATTGAAAGAATGTTCAAAAAATGTTTATACTTTTCCAGAAAATCGTAGGTAGAACTTAATTGTGTGTATTTGGACTCGGTAGAGTCATGTTCGTGACTTGCCACTGGCCTTTCAATCCGTTCAACCAGCTGCTGAAAAGCGCAAAGTCCACACAAAATGTTTCATTCGTTCCCTAAATCGCTTACCCCCATCACTTGTGTTCTTTGCAATATCGGAGGAGTCAATTAGAGCACACTGCATATAAATGAAACCGTCTGGGCTTCTGCAACCGCAGTCAATAGGTATTTGACTGACCGGAAGACGCCACGTCTTAGTCACAAATGCCAACGTTATGGCCATCTTGCTGCGACTTTTCTCAGGGGCATTTCTCATTTTTAAGGAATTTCACCTACAGGAAGGTCGCAGCATGACTGCCTTGACATTGGTCTAGGACGGGGCGCCTTCCGGTCAGCCAAGTATTCATTAACACCGGTCGCAGAAGCCTGCTCTTTCATTTTACTAACCTCTACAGGGAGGAAATAATCGAAATCACTCGTGCGTTCTCCAACTTGCAAGAAAAAAAGGAAGGGAAAGCTGAGAAAATTCGCCTTCCTTCAACGGTCCTGGGATGAGAACGTTCTTTCGTTATTTATCGAAATCCGAAACGCGACTAATTCAAGTGGCATCACGAATTCTCCGTAGGAAGGGAATCGCACTCCCGCGTGAGAGATTTTACATTGAAATTTACGTTGTAAACAACGTCAAGCATGTCAAGCCGCGCTCGCGCGAGCTACTAGCCCGCCTGGGAAGCGCGGCTCTCCTGCGAACAAGGGAACTTTCCTGACTCTTATTTCCCCTCCAAATCCGAAAAGGGATGTACACGTGCAAACTAAAGCAGTTCGAGGCGGGTAATATTGGCGTCATTTGAAAATATTTTCCAAATTTGTTTTGAGAAACCACTGAGATTTGTTTATTTATTTACGTCAAAAACAGTTAAAAACTGTGTGTGACATCCTATGGGGAGAAGTTAATTTTAAGTTACAGTTATGTTTATATTCTTTACTATTTTTACCATTTCATGTTTATTTTCCTTTTATTATTTCCCTTTTTGTATACAATTTTGCGAAAGGGTAGGAATATGTTGAGTGGCGGATTCTTTCGTTGTTTTTGCTTTGTGTTATATTTCATTAAATCTTTCAGTAATTTGTTAGATTTAGCATTGATGTGAAATGAATTAACAAGTCTCTGTAAATTAACAATTCATGCTTATGAGCGGAGCTCTCTTTTAACAGACAAGAATTTTTGTCTGTTAAACCATCTAATCTGAATGTTGGAAGTTACGCAATTATTGCACTCTTAAGTAAACACGATTTCAAAATCAAGATACTTTATACTTAAAATGTTTAGTTTTACTCACAAATGACAATTTGAAATCTGACTGATGTATTATTACATTTCAATGGAGCATGTCTTTTCTTTAGTAGAGGAAATGGGAATTAATATAATAAATACATTTGTGATATTAACTGT